TATAGTAATTAATTAATACGAATTTGCATATTTGCATGTGCAATTAGTGCAGTGGAGTGATTACTCTGAAAATGAGAAGTTGGGCCTGTCAGATGGGAGTGTGAACTGGAGTGGAAAAGCCTCGTGAAAATGATCCCGGGCGGCGGCGGCACCGGGCACGCGGCGGCACCGGGCACGGGGTGGCACCGGCGGGTGCCAGGCCCCCCCTGTGTGTGGGTGGGTGTGGGTGTGAGGGGGTGCTCAGCCCCCGGGACACCCCCTTTTCCCCCATCCCATCCCAGCCCCGGTCCCCACGCCATGGGGACCGCTCCATCCCTCGGCCATCTCCATGGCGACTCGCTGTGCCAGGCGCATCGCCATGGCAACGGGCCGGGCCACGCAGCCTCGCCATGGCGACTGTCGTCATCGCGCTCTGTCGCCATGGAGACTCCCCCCCCCCCATCTCCCCGAAATCTGCTCCCTGCCGGGCCCCCCCACCTCGGGGTTGGGGTGGGGGGTGCTCCTCCTCAGGGTGGGGGTCCCCGAAGGCACCCACGGGGCGGGGTGGGGGTCCCCGATGTCCCCAGGGATTGGAGCACCCTGGGATAGGGGTGAGCACCCCAGGGTGCCCCACACTGGGGGTCTCCAGTCCCCCAGGGGCTGGTGGGGACAGCCCAGCCCTGTGATGGCAGCACCCAGCTGGACCCACTCCCAGGGGACGGTGACCCGAGACCCCCCAGGATGGGGGTCTGGCACCCACAGATCCAAGTGCAGCCCTTTGATTTTGTCCCTGGTGCCACCCCGATGCCTCCTCACTCTGCCCACCCGCCTGGCTGAGGCCTGACACACTCGGTGCGCTTCTGGGAGGGCCACCAGCCGCCTGTCCCCTGATTTTGGGGCACAGAAGAGCAGGGTGGGGGGCTGTGGAGGGGGATACAGCTGCCTACCACCCCCACACACTGTGTCCCCTCCACCCCCTGCACCCCCCCAGCCCCCTGAAACGTTCCCAAGCACTGCCATCTGCCGCAGGGGGGCCGGGGGCCGCTGCCAGCAGCACTCCTTGAGCCGTGCCCGTGCCGGTGGCACCACTGGTGTGTCCCCCTTGACCTTCCAGGGCAGCCATGGGGGGGCTGCTGTGGCCACAGCCAGTCTCCAGGGGGTGACTGTGATGTCACAATGATGTCACAGTCCAGTTGTGATGTCATAGACCTTTGTGACATCACCAGGGTGGCCTTGTTCCCTCACCAGCAGCACAATGGCACCTCCCTCCAGCCCAGGATCAGGGGTTGGGGTCCCAAAGAGCATCTGAGCCCAGCAGGGGCAAACCCAGTGACCCCTGGGTGACAAAGAAGCACAGAGTGTGGGGGGGACAAGTCCCCTGGGCCACCTGTGCTCCCACCCCAGGGACTCTCCATCCCCTCACGGCTCCAGTGGTTTCCCACTGGACAATTCCCAGGGCGTCGTTTGCCCAATTAACAACGTGTGGCTCAAAAAGCACTTGGCAAGTCCCCAGCCCGTGTGTGACAGTGGGGGACAGGTGGGGTGGCAGGCAGGGGACACAGACAGGGGTGTTGGATGCCCCAGGGCAGGATCGAGGCAGGAGCACAGCCCCAGGCCTGGCACAGCGTCGCCCCATCCTCCTCTGGCTAAAGAAGGGGGTTCACTAAACCCCTCCCAATCCCAGCTGAGTCAGGGCCCCCCCTTTTCTCCCTCCATGCCTTCGTTTCCCTCCTCCATCAGCTTCCTGTTGCCAGGCTCCCCAGCCCACTCATGACCCCACAGGGACCTTTAGGGACATTTAGGGACAGGCAGGGCACCCACCCTGCTCCCCATCCCCCTGAGCCCCCCACCCACAGCTCTGGGTGACCGTCACTCACCCCATGAGGGGAAGGTGCCCAAGGATGGGTCCCACGAGGGAGGAGCTGCTCCAGGGACCTGGCCTGGAGGCAGCAGGGATGGGGATGGGGACAGGGACAGGGATGGGCTCAGCTCCTGCTCCCTGCGCTCTCCTCCCCTCGGTGACATTCCCGGCAGTGGCTCCGCCGCGCGTTAGCGCATCCATCTCTCCCCAGCCTTCACCTCCCAGAAATATTGCAGCGCCGAGCCGGCTCCATCTGGCACGGCCCCCGCCTCCCCCCGCACCGCACCGGGGACGCGCCGGAGCCGGAGCCACCGCCCGGGCCGGCCCGAGGGGGCACAGCGACCCTGCCAGCCAGGGGCACGGCCGGGATGGGCCCCGTCCCACACCCGGGGAGGGACAGCGAGGCCTCACCAAGCACAGGCCCCACGCTGGGGGTGCGGCAGCCGGCTGAGCCCCGGCAAACTCGCCCCACGCGGAGCCCCTGGAGCCACCGCGGGCCCAGCTGGCTCCCAGCCGGGTCCCGGCACCACCCAGCACCCGGCTGCCACCCCCGGCTCTGCCAGGCCCGACCCGCTGCCGTGCCCTGGCCGTGCCCCTCAGGATGGCACGTGTGCCCTGGCTGCCACCTCCGCCATGGAGCTGTTGCTGCCCCAGGCGGGGTCCCCGTGTGCATCCATGACCTTCCTGCTGGAGGGAGGGAAGGGACATGGGGGATGGATTTTTGAGGAGGAAAGAGCTTTGTGTCCTTTCCTGCTGGGCACCGAGACCCCCGGGGACCTGGTTGGGGTGGCCAGGGGTGGAGGTGGCAGTGCTGGGACACTGGTCCTGGCACACAAGGACCAGCAATGGGATGGGCAGCAGAGCCCCGGGGTCACTGGGTCCATCTCCCCTGTCCCCTGCACCCAAAAAGGCAGCACCCAGCCCTGCCCCTGCTCCCTCCCTGCTCCCACCCAGCTCCCCGAGCTGTGCCTGGTCCTGGGTTCACCCTGACCTCACCTGCCCCTGCTCTGCACGGCAGCCCCAATTCCCACGGGATGGATCCCCCTCATCCAGCCCCTGTGCCGTGACACCAGGACCCCACTCACCCCCCTGGATCAAACCACCACTCCAAAGTCACCTGGGGACCTGAGCAGGGCCGCCCCTGCCCCCTCTGCCCTGTGCCATGGCTGGCTGTGGTGGAGGGGACAGCACCGTGATCACTCTCCTGCCCTCACCATGGGCCATGTCCCGGCACAGTCCGGCCGAGGGCCCGCGGTGCCACGAGGCAGCGGTTTGGGTTTTCATCTCCCCACTCCCCTTTCATCTCCTCTCCCCGTTTCATGTCTCCACTTTCTTCTCCCTCCCAGCGCTGCGCATGCTGATGAGCCTCACGCCGGCGCCCACCCCGGCTGCTAATTAGGCTGGAACGGATACACCAGGCCGGGGCTCATGAATGTCCCTGTCCCTGTCCCCGCGCGGGCCAGCCTGGCCACTCACCCTGTGGCATCTCCTTGGCCTCAGGCAGCCCCGGTGCCCCCATAGATCCCCCACGTGCTGCGAGCCCGGTGCCAGGGGCCAGGACACCGCCGGCCTCGCTGCCCCGACGCCCGGGGTGTGGCCACCCCCTGGCCTGGGGACCCAGGGACTTACCCGGCGCTGGCACCGGTGTGCCACGGGCAGCAGGAGAGGGTGGGCTCCCGGAGCACGGCGATGCCCGCCAGGCACCCGCTGGCAAAATGGAGACAGCAGCGACAGAGGGAGCTGAACGGTGCTACGGGAAAGGGACGCGGCGTGCCGGGAGGATGCCTGGGAATCGGTGCCCGGCACAGCACTGGCAGGGCTGGGGTGGGCCCTGCCTTCCCCGCAGGCCGGCCCCAGCCCAGGTGCCATCTGCTCGGCCGCAGCCCTGAGTGACAATCGGGGGGGACGCTCACCGGCAGCGGAGGCCCCTCTGTCACGTGCCAGCCCCGGCACCTGCACCGGGGGAGCGGGCACCGCCGGCGCCGCTGGCACAGCCCCAGCGGCCGGGCACGGCCAGCCCTTTGTCTGCGTGCGGGCACAGACGTGGCCACCGCTGTCACCGTGTCCCTGCGGTGCCCACGCTGTGGGTGGCACGTGCCGGGGTGTGGCACCCCATCCCCGGCCTGCACCTCTAGAGCCAGGCAGGTCCCAGCCCCTCAGGCTGGTGGGGACAGCGGGATCCAGCACACGGCACCGGCCTCGATGGGCACAGCCAGGAACAGGGCTCCGGCGGGTGGGATGTGGCTCCTGGGGACACCGTGTGCCCCTTTGGGCTCCCTGACCCCATGGGAAGGGCAGCGGTGGTTTCTGGGCGCAGGGACACCGTGGTGGGGACAGATCTGGAAGCTGGAGGGTGACAGAGCAGGCACCAGTGAGGAGTCACCCAGCAGACAAAGGCCTAGCTGGCTGTGCCGCGGCACCGCTGGGCCTCAGCCACCGGCACCGTGGCACCGGCACCCACGGGGGGCTCAGAGCCCGTGTGCGCTGGGGAGGACACGTGTGTGCAGGCATGTATGTGTGTGTGTGTGTGTGCACCCGCATGCCCAGGGCTGTGTGGGGCTGCGCTGTGGGCACAGAGAGAGGTTGGCGTGGCCGTGTGGCCACAGGGGTGCTGGAGGGTCCGTGTGCCACCCGTGTGGGGACACACGGCCCTGCGGCCACCGACCCTGCCCACACCACACCCGCAGCCCCCTGCCCACCCCTCTATGGCCACACCGGGCACCGCCACCACCACCGCGGTGCCCGGCCGGCCACAGCCCCCAGCCCGCGCCAGGCCCTCTCCGGCACCGCCATCGCCGCCCGGCTGCCGGCTGAGGGTGGGGACGGACCCGGCGGAGCCGCCGCGGCATTTTGCGGCGAGCCGCAGATGCCAGCTCCCAGCGAGGGTCCCCGTGGCATCGCCCCCCTCGCCCCGGCGCCCGCCGGGGTCCCCGCCGCGCTCGGCCCAGCCGGGATGGTCGGTTTTCCCGCCGGCTCCATTGTTCCTGCCGGCCCCGCCATCGCCTGCCTCTCGCCCGGGTCCCATTTTGTGCCATGCAGGCAGAGCTGGAGATTTGGAAGAGGGTTTTTTTTTTTCCCCTTCTTCTTTTTTTTTTTTTTTTTTTTTTTTTTAGAGTACAGAGTGACAGATGGCGAGTCCTCCTTCCCCAGAGAGACAAATCTCCCTGAATGCAAGCGCATGTCAATCATTAGCTCTCATGTGATAGCTCTCGCGCATGACGTGCCAACCATATGGCACTGGCAGCAGAGCTGGTACCCCCTTTGCTGGGTAGAGATGCCACTCTCGCCTCCTTTTGGATAGAGGACTGCAGGAGGCTGGAGCACCTCAAGGAGCCGCGTCCCGCTCCCAGAAGATGCTGGGAACAATGAAATAAGAATTCCTGCGGTCCGCCCGAAGGTGAGTTATGTAAGAAGTGGAGGGTTGGGAGGGCAGCGGAGGAAACTTGAATGGAGAAAAGGCAACTTCCATGTTGATTTTGTTTCTCCGCCACGTCTCGCCCTTTTTTCCCCCCATCTTTCGTTCTCCCCCGGCCCTCGGTTCTCCCGTTCCCCGCCGGCCACGCTGATGGGGGTTTTCCCCCCCCCGGCCGGAGTCCCCCCAAGGGGGGTTGTTGGGGTTTCGCCCCCCCCGGTCCCCCCCCCAGCCTGGGCGCGCCCGGGGCTCCGCGGTCCCAGTGGGACGGAGCGGGCAGCGGCGGCCGGGCGGCATCAACGAAATCAGCGCGGAGCCTCCGCGCCGCCGCCCCGGGGGCCTGACCCGGCGGAGCCGCCCCCGCTCCCCGCGGCGCCCCCGGCCCCCGCCCCGGGCGGTGCCCCGCCCCGGCCCCGCCGCGCCCACCGGCCCCGAGGCGCCCCCGGCAGCGCCGCCGCCCGCGCCCCCGCGCTCCCCGGGGCCCGGCCGCCCCCGCCGCCCCCGGTTGGTGCCGCCGCATTTACGGGCCGCGCTCCGGCGGCCGCGGGAGCCCGGGGCGGGATGCGGGGGCGCCGGGCGGGGCTGACCGGGCCGGAGGGGTACGGGAGGTACGGGAGGGTACGGGGAGGGGCGGCTGCGCCTCGACCCCCGGCCACGGGACGGCGGTGGCGGAGCCGCGGCCGGGGCCGCTCGCGCCCGCGGCGGGGAAAAGTTGGAGGCGTCAAGAAGGACCGGCGACACCGGGCCCGGCCCTCGGGGCATCGCGGGGGTCACCGGGAGGCCGGGGGCGGGGGCGCGGGGATGTGTGCGGAGGAGCGGGAGCGGGGCGCGGGCGGCGGCCACGGGGACCCCGGCGGTGGGGTTGGGGAGGTCGGGAGGGCGGCATCGCCGCGCCCCGAGAGAGCCCCGGTGCCCTCGGGGTCGGGCGGCCGGGGCGGGGGCAGCGGCGGGCGGCCCCGCGCCCACTCCGTTTTCGCCGGTGCCGGCGGGTGGGAACGGAGCGGGCGGGAGGTGGGCGGGCGGCGGGGCCGCCGGTAACGCCTGGCTCTTTGCCCCCCGCTGCAGCCACCATGTTGACGCGACTTTTCAGCGAGCCCAGCCTGGTCCCCGAAGTCCCGAAATTCCCCGGTTGGGCCGAGGAGTGCGAGGAGGATGCCCGGAGCGAGAAGGAGGAGCGGGCGGGGAAGGGCTGCGCCCTCCCCGAGGAGCCGCCCGAGGGCTCGCTGGGGGAGAGCAAGGAGGAAGGGGAGCTAGGAGGGGACGAGGAGGAGGAGGAGGAGGAGGAGGAAGGCCTGGAGGAGGCGGAGGGCGAGCGGCCCAAGAAGCGCGGCCCCAAGAAGAGGAAGATGACGAAGGCGCGGCTGGAGCGGTCCAAGCTGCGGCGGCAGAAGGCGAACGCCCGGGAGAGGAACCGGATGCACGACCTGAACGCGGCCCTGGACAACCTGCGCAAGGTGGTTCCCTGCTACTCCAAAACCCAAAAACTCTCCAAAATCGAGACCCTCCGCTTGGCCAAGAACTACATCTGGGCTCTCTCCGAGATCCTGCGCTCGGGCAAGCGGCCCGACCTGGTCTCCTACGTGCAGACTCTGTGCAAGGGGCTGTCCCAGCCCACCACCAACCTGGTGGCCGGCTGCCTCCAGCTCAACTCCCGCAACTTCCTGACGGAGCAGGGGCAGGAGGGGGGTCGGTTCCACGGCCCCAACGCCGCCTCCTTCGCCGTGCACCCCTACCCTTACCCCTGTTCGCGGCTGGCCGCGGCGCCCTGCCCGCCCGCCGCCGGCCCCGGGCCGCACGGGCTGAGGACACACGGCTACTGCGCCTCCGCCTACGAGAGCCTCTACGGCAACACCTCCCCCGACTACAACAGCTCGGAGTACGACGGGGGGCTCAGCCCCCCGCTCTGCATCAACGGCAACTTCTCCCTCAAGCAGGACTCTTCATCCCCCGACCACGAGAAAAGCTACCACTACTCTATGCACTACTCGGCGCTGCCCGGCTCCCGCCCCGCCGCCCATAACCTGGTCTTCGGGTCGGCGGGGATGCGCGGGGGGGTCCACTCCGAGAACATCTTCCCCTACGACATGCACCTCCCGCACGAGCGGGGCCCCATGTACGAGGAGCTCAACGCCTTCTTCCACAACTGACCCCCTCCCCGACACCCCTCCCCATCCCCGAGGTGGCGAGGGGAGAGACCCCTCACACCCCCCACCCGCGGCGGCCCCGCGGACCGGCCCCCGGGGCTCCGCCGTGGGCTTTGGTGCAATATGGGGACCCGGCCCCGGCGGCGGGTCCCCGCGCCCCGTGGGGACAAAGTGCTTTTTTGGGAGGATTTCCCCTTTCCCTTAAATTTTTTATTAGTATTTATTTCGTTATTTTTTAATTTTCTTATTTATTGTTCTTCATTATTTAATATAATTTATTTAGTTATTTTATTACCGCTGTTATCACCGCGACTATTTTCATAACTGCCACAACAATTATGACGACTATAGCCATTATTACAATTACATTATTATTATTATTATTATTATTATTATTATTATTATTATTATTCCCGGGGGAGACGTCCCGCAAGGGCCGATCCCCCCCCCATCCAACCCGCCGGAGCCCCCCGGGTGCCCAGCACGACCCTTTGGGTCGAGCCGCTTCGTTTCCCTTTGAATTCGTTTTAATTTAATTTTATATATTTATTTTTAAAGAAATTTTTCCCCCTCCCACCCCAATTTTGGGCCGTTTCTCCCTCCCCTGCCCTGATCCCGACCCCCGCACCCCCCGGCATTGGACACCCGCTGCCCCGGCCCGTGGGAGCGAGAGGAGCCCGCCCTGCGGCGCGGAGCGAAACTTTCCGAAGCAATAAAGAGGCGCAGGGAGGAACGAACCCCAATTTCTATCTATGCAAGAGGCCCGGCCCGGCGGACGCTCCGAGATGCACTTTGCTTTGGGGGGGCCCCGGCCCCGCTCCCCGCCCCCCGGGGAGCTCCTCGCAGCGCGTGTGTCAGGACGTTTTTTACCTGTTTTAAAAACTTGAAACGGAAAAAAAAAAAAAAAAAAAAAAGGAAAAAAATTATAAGAATTTAAAAAAAAAAAAAAGAAAAAAGAAAAAAGACACCCCACCGCCCGTGGAGCCGCCCCGGTTTTCCCGGTTTTCCCGAGCTGGCGGAGCCGGGAAGAGCAGCCCGAGCTATGCAAGCGGGGCTCCGGGGGGGCTGGAGGGGCTGCGCCCCCCCCGCGGCGCCCGGCCCGGGGGTCTCCATCCCGGTTTGCCGCATTCCTTCGGCCGGGAGACGCCGGGAAGCCGATAATGCTTTTTTTTTTTTTTTTTTCTTTTTTTGGTTGGGTTTTCTCCTTTTTTTTGGGATTTTTTTGTTGTCGGAACCTGCCCGCAACCACCTTCGAGAAACCAGCATTTTTAGAGACCAGGGAGGAGGAGAGGAGGAGGATTTCTGAGAAACGTTTTGAAAACGAAAAAAAAAAAAAAAAAAAAAAAAGGAAAAAAAAAAAAAGGAAAGAAAAAAGTTTTTGGGAAAAAAAACAAAACGGGAAAAAAAAAAAAGGGAAAAAGAAACAAAAACCCACAAACCGTTGTAGCAAAGGGGACCCGCTGCCCGACACCAGAAGTGCTTTCGTGTTTCCGTTCCGTTTCATTTCGATTAATAAATATTTATGGCCAACGATATGCAACACCCCCCCGCGCCGGGCGCCGCTCCCGCTCCCCGGTCCCGGTTCCCGGTCCCCGTCCCCGCCACCCGGACACTGCTCGGCGGCGGCGGAGCGCGGGGGCGCGGGGCCGGGGGGCCCGGCCGTACTGCATGCACCGGCCCCCTCCCTGCCGGGGCCGCCCCCCCCCGGCCCCGCTGGACGTTCGTCGCCCGGTCCCGGCCCCGCCAGGACTCGTCGGCCGTGACGAGCCGCCGCCGGTGCGATCGCGGCGAGGTTGTAATTACCGAGCGTCCTTCGACGGCGATTAATAAATATTCAATGTTGACTCCGCCGCCTTCGCCGCTTTCCTTCCGCCCCGGAGGCACCGGGGGCACCGGGGGCACTGGGGGCACCGGGCCGAGCCCACCCCCCGGCGGTGCCGCCGCCGCTCCCGCCGCCCGAGTGCGCGGCCCGCGGGCGGCGGCGCTGATATAACGCTGCTCTGCCCCACGGGTGTCCCCCCCGGGACCGCGGAGGCGGTGTCCCCCCCCTCGCCAATAGGGGCACCGGGATGCGGAGCGGCGGCCCGGCTCGGTCCGCCGGCCGTGACACCGCTCCGGTCCCCCGGGAGCGGGAGCTCGGAGCGCGGTGCCCGGGGCTGGCACCGGGCCGCGGGGCCGGTGGCCGCGGCGAGGGCGCGGTGGCGGTGGCCAAGGCCGGGCTCCTCGGTCGGCTGCAGGCGCGGTGCCCGCTGCTTGTACCGGTTCCCGGTGCCGGTTCCCGATGGAGCCTCGGCGCGGTGCCCGGCCCCGGTGCCAGTGCCGATGCTGGTGCCTGTTGGAACCCCGGGAGCTCCGGCCAGGTGCCGGTGCCAGTGCCGGTGCCCGCTGGAGCACTGGAAGCTCTGGCCCGATGCCGGTGCCAGGTGCCCGGTGCCATTCCCGGTACCCGCTGCCGGTGCCCGCTGCAGCCCCGGGAGCGCGGTGCCCGGTGCGGAGCTGTCCGCCTCGGCGGTGCTGAACGGGCGCCGGGGCCGATTAACGGGCACCGGTCTGTTCAGCGTCCGCGCCACCGGGGCTCGTCACCATCCGACGGCCGCGGGTCCCGGGCGGGGTCGGGCACCGGGCTCCGACCGATCCCTCTCCCCACGGCCGCGGGGGTCAGGGGGGCCGGTTCCCCCTCGGGAGGAGTCGGGGCTGCGGGAACGGAGCCGCCAGTTCCTTCCCGGGAAAGGTGGCGGTGCCCGCTCCCCGCAGCCTCGCGGCTTTTGGGTCTAAACCTGGCCGGTTTGGGGTCGGGCCGGGACGCGCTGGGGCTGCAAACGGAGAATGGCTCCAATAGTGGCCCCGACGTGCCGGGCCCGGCCCCGGAGACACCGGTGGCGGGGAGCCGGGACCGGGCCGGGGAGCAGATCTGCCGCGGTCCCACGAGCCGCTGTAGCGGCCTCCGAGCCCTCCGAGCCCCCTGAGCCCCCCGACCCCCGGTCGGGCCCCGGCGCTCTCAGCTCTCCGTAGAGCATCAGAGCCTCTTCCGACGGCTCCAGCCCGGGCATCCTCCCGGGACTCGTTTCTCCGGGGAAAAAGCCTCCGGGGGCCCTGGCTGGGGCTCCGTGGGGTCGTGGGGGGTCGGTGTGCGGCCCTTCTGCCGTCACCCGCAACCGGCGGCACCGGGACCGCGGAGGCGAAGGGCGGATGCCCCGGCGGAGCGAAGGAGGGGGTCGCGGGGGGCCGGGGGCTGCGGGGGGGCCGCCGACATCTGCTCCCGGGGCCGGCTGTGCCAGGGGGTGCCGGCTCCGCTGGGGGGGCTGCGGGCTGCCTTCAATTCCCGGGATTTTTGTTTCCTCGGTGCCCGCCCGGCCCCGCCGAAGGTGCGGGAACCCGCTCGGCTGCTCCGGCACGGCCCGGCCCCGCAATGCGGCCCCGCGCTCGGTGCACGGCCCCGGGGCACAGCTCCGGAGAACAGCTCCGCTGCAAAGCTCCGGGGGAAGATTTTGGTGCACGGTCCCCGTGAACGGTTTCGTTGCAAAGCTCCGGTGCCCGGCCTCGGTACAAGGTTCCGGTGCCCGGTCCCGGTGCCCGGCTCCGGTATCCAGCCCCACTACAAGGCTCCGGTGCTCGGCTCCGGTGCCCAGCCCCGGTGCCCAGCCCTGGTGCCCAGCCCTGGTGCCCAGCCGTTCCGCCCGGCGGCTCCCGGAGAGGGACGCGGAAGGTCGGGAACCGCCGCCCCGCCGGGCTCTGCGAGTGTTTTTTGTCGGCTGGGGCTTTTTTGGGGGCTGCCAGAACCACGCACAGCTCGGCCGGGGGACGGAGCGGGGCCAGCACCGAGGGGACCCCTCTGTGGCGGCTCTGGTGGGCTCAGTCACCCTATTTCAAGGCAGGACGAGGTAGGAGTGGGGGTGTGCCCCCCACTCCATCACCTCCGGTGCCCGCGGTGCCCCCGGTGCCCCCGGCCCGGCCCCTCTCCCGGCCCGGCGGAGCGCGGCGGGGGCGCGGGGCGAGCGCCAGCTCCGGGTCGCCGCTGCCACCGGCGAGTGCCAGCCGGGGGGGGGGAGGAGGAGTCATTGCTTCAGTTTAAATTTCATGGCATCTGTTCATTATTATACAGTGCGGATTTTTATATGGACAGCTAAATTAAAGACAGATTTCTGCCAAAATTGCAGATACCATAAAAAACCGGAGGCTCCCGGCGCCCGGCGCTCGCCGCGCTGCGGAGGCGGCCCCGCTCCGGGGGCCGGGGGCTGCCCGGGGGTCGGGGAGGATGTGGGGGGTCGAGAGGAATGTGGGGGGGTCCGGAGAGCGGCGGGGCTGCCCCCGGTTTTGTGCGATGGGGAGCCCGGGACGCCGCCCCCCGTGGGGGAGCGGGGGGTCCCCACGGTCCCCGGAGCCGCGGCCGGGGCGGGTCGGGCTGGCAGCGGTCCCCGCCGCCCCGGGGGCTGCCGAGCCGCCCCCTCCCCCGCCCGGTCTGCCAGGCTCCATCGCAGAGGAGTTAAAACAAGGACATCTGTGCCTGGAATCGCTGCGAAGCTCCGAACCTGCCAGCGCCTGCTGGCACCGGCCGCCGGCGGAGGCGGCTTCTCCGGAATGCGGCACCGCCGGCAGCTCCGCCCGGGGCCCCCGGCCCGACCTCGGGGGCTGCGGGGCCAGGGGGGCCTTGGCCCGGCCGGGCAGTGTCCCCACCTGTGCTTGTCCCCACCGTGTCCCCGCCAGCCACAGCCCCGCGTCCCGTGGGGTGGCCACAACACGGTCCCCCAGCCCTCCCTGGGGTGGTGCCTTCCCCACCAATCACCCCCCGACCCACACGGGGTATGGGGGGGCGGTGGGAGATGCCAGGGGGTGAGTAGAGGGCCCTGCACCCTGGTTGGGCACGGGCAGCGCTGGGGGGGCTGCACAGGTGGGCTGGAAGGGGGAGAGCAAAGGGGACAGGTGGTACCTAAGGGCACCCAGGGCTGGGGCACCTGGATGGCTGGGGCTCTGCTGAGCTGCCTGGGGACTGCAGCCCAAAGTTTTGTGGGAAGGGGAGAACTCCCTCCCAGGCACCAGGG